GCTCTGTTCGTCACGAATCGTCTCGTGTCTCCCTTTCTCAACGACTCAATTCGCGCCCCAGCGAGTGCACATATCACACAACAGATCTCCAGTGTCAGCGTTCATTTCATCTTGACCCGCGACGTTTTGAAAGAGGTTCCCCGGAGTGCATGGAAGACCTCGAGCCCCCTGGTCTACGCAGCGACCGTGCTAGCCTTGCTGCGGTTGGTAATCGTCGTTTGGCATCGGTATCCCCTTATGTGACGGATGAAAGCACTACACCCGCGCTCCACGAGAGCCAGCTTGAGCCTCAGCCGTTGCGACTGTCTTCCCGTTGTAGAAGTCGACTAGATGACCTGCATTGGTGCCTGCCTGATGAAGATTCAACAGACATGGATGCGGGGGCTCAACCATGGAGTAGCACTTCGTGCCCTTCTACTTTTTTGCTGACAGATGGGAACTCGTTTGCCCTTTCTGCTCTGTTCAGCAGTGATCCAGCATGGATGGAGGCAGGCTCATCCAGCGACGAGTGGAAAATGTTTCTGCCTTTCATGAAAAATGCGGACAGCTCGTTTTTACAACCCCAGTCTGTGCCACCTGCGTTTGGGATGGTGGACAATGCAGGGGTGACTCCGTCCATCGCACCAAGTACCATGGCCGATTCTCGTCCGGATTGGAGGAGTGCAACTGTGCGGTCACTTTTTCTCTCGCTGACGGGGGAGGCAGGCAATGAATCGATGCGTACCGCTCCCCTGAGTCGCTCTGCTTCGCCATGTTCACGTAGAAATACTGTCGAGCTTCTGATGGCGCAGTTAACCGATGACAGCGATGGTACTGTTTCGCGGACCCCAAATCCCCCCCTGCCGGTGATGTCAAAACAACCTGAGGCCCTGACACTGCCTGTGGATCTGTTGACTGCTTTTGGGATGACTTTAGACTCTGTTACTGTGGCGCTGTCCAATGCCACGGGGATAGATGACGGTGACGTTAAAAGTGGCTCCTACGCGGGCGTACCGTGCAGCTTCAGACAGTCCCTCTGCCGTGCACCGCCATTCGCTGTTGGATTCTCACCCCTCGCATCCCCTCGAGGAAGACTCTCTGAGAAGGAAAGCAAGTGTTACCCTAATCCCATTGCACCTGGTCACAACAGCAGCACGGGAGACTCCCCTCGGACTGCGCGGAGTGACGGTCGCCGTCTCGGGCGCCCTTGCCACCCGTCACTGAATGCGCCTTCTGTGCCTGTAGTAGATCGGACGACGCTTAGCAATGTGCATCGCAATACACCACAGGCTTGCCGTGTAAAGGACATGATAACCAAGTCGTCTCATAGTGCATTGTTGGTTGCAGATGTGTGGCCGCCGCGAACGAAGCATGATGTGGTTGTCTTGTTAAAGCGTATGCGGGCGAAAGAATTGCTACGTCATCTGCGCATAATCAGTTTCTCGCGGAAGGACCCACAGGGTGTGTGCAAGCTTTTCGAATCGTGGAGCAGCAAGGGTATTCCCCCACCTGACATTGTGTTTGGAACGTACTACCGGTACGCTGTGAAGAAGCTCGACAAAGAAATGTGTCTAAAGCACAATGGGCGTGGGCGCGTGACTGGGCACGGCTGGGGCTGCGACTATGCATCAAAGGGCCCCCTCTTTAAATGCCGTTTCCACCACGCTTGCCTATTCTGTGAGGCGGAAGACCATGGATGGTTTGACGAGGATCATTGTGAGCGGTACTTGATGCTGCAGAATGAGATGATAAGGCTTGGCGTGACGGACGCTGTCGCAATAGCTCTACTAGACGCGTTGGAATGCGATGAGCGAGCAACACTCCGCGACAATGTGGCATGACTGGGAACCAGTGTAACTGCCCCAGTAATGGTGGGGCGGTTTGTGTGTGTGTGTGTGTGTGTGAAAGGTTTTTTGTTTGCATGGGGATTTTGAAACAGTTGTGTAGGATGTTTTTTTGTTTGAGTTGCATTGTCGAGAGGCGTCTTATCTCTTAGTAGTACAGCTGATATTGCCTGTGGCTTCTTTTCCTTTTTTTTTTTTCTTGACAGTTTCTTTCCGCCTCTCTTTTGCGATTTCATTTGTATTGCACTCTCACAGGTGCTATCATCTTCTATTCGTTGTCGTACCGAAGTGCACTTGACACAGGTGCTGCTTCTCGTGTGTGTGTGTGTGTGTGTGTTTGAGGTGACAGCTGCTTTTTTCCCCCTACTTTGTTATCATTTTAGGCATTGTGTCTGCTTGGAGCTGAAGAGGGGTGTATTGCGCCAAGTGGATTGTTTGCTGACTGGTGTGTGACGTTGACGGCGACAGCGAGTTTTCTTTTTTTTTTTTATTTTCGTTAATCAAGTTTAGTGTTATCGCCTCTTTCTTTTACTCCACGGCAGCGAATTTTGCGGAGACTCACTCTCAGTTCTTTTGTATCTTCCAAATGTGGGGTCATTGGTGGCGCAAATCTGAGGTTAGCCGAGGGGGGCCAACACAGCTGCTTTTTCTCAAGTGTAAGGAGTGGGGAGTAGATACCCTTCCAACAGTGCACAGAAATACTAATTGCAACAGGGAGGTGCCGCTGTGAGAACCTGGGGGAGTAGAGAGGCATCAGATTATAGACAGAAAGTAGAGGGGAGGAGTTAAATACTGCTTTCCAATGTGCAATGATCATAAGTGTTTTCTTGTTCTAAGGGAGGAGGGGGTGAGGAGCAGAGTACACACCCTCCCAAACGACTCAGACAACGACAGAGTGACTTCAATGGTTCACAAAGGAGAAAAACAACATATATGCAGATTTCCTGGATACCGGGATAGTAATGAGACAAAGAAGGCGCTGTGAAAAAACGGAAGTAGGGTTGTCTTTTCGCTCGAGAGTTTTTCGTTTTACCTCCGACCTTGGTTCTCTCCTCTTCCTGACTCGGCGCTGTCCACACATGACAGCGATGTGGCACGCGACGTCGGTCATTCTGGCCTGTGCCCTGTGGCTCTTGACTTCCTTTTCGTATTTTGTCTTTGAAACTGCAATGCGCTAACTCATTGTTTTTTCCGTTCTTCTTGTCCCCCTCTCTGAAAGTGGTCTGGTTTGCCCAGACTCAAGGCACCTACGAAACAAGTAAACCAGTAGTACATTGCAGCAGTTGCTAGGTAACAAATAGTGGGGCGAGACCA